AACTTCTGATCTATTGTTTGGGGGACTGAGAGTAAAGGAAGTATTAAGAATGGCCGAGAAGGTGTTCATTTGAAACACTAGAGGACCTCTGGCCTTGTCATCAACACAGAACCTTTTTAGATGATGGCTATATGGATAGGGGACACTGAGGACAAGGCTGACTGTTTCATTCAAGCTGTGCATGTTGGTTGAATGGCTAGTTCATAGCCATCTGAAGGAAAAATAAAAGACAATATCCATGCCCAAGCCCTTGTAATAATAAATTCCAGATGGAGCAGAGATTTCATTGGAAAAAGGTAAAACTATAAAATTATTAGAAAATATGGATGAAAACAGTCTTATGAAATAGTGGAGGTTAGGGAGTCCTGTCTCAGCAATTCAAAAACTACAAAGAGAAAAGATTGATCCCTCTGACTACATAAACATTTGAAGCTTTTGGATAGCAATACACAAGGCAAAAGATGAGACTAGGAAAAATATTTCTACATGACAAAAATTAGGCTTATTACTATATGAGGAACTCAGTAATGTGAAAGAGAACCAAATTATCTTTTGCCTATTTTTCTCTAAGGGGGTAATAGAATAACTCATGGAAGAAATACAAGTGCCAATAAGCGATAGAAAAAAAAGGTTCAGTGTTAATGGAAGAAACAAAACCCCAATAAGTTTCTTCATGTATCTGTTGGACTAAGATATAAATGACTGACAGTCTGTCACTAGCAAGACTGTGGGGAAGTAACGTCTCTTGTATTATTTGCAGAAATGTATAAAAAGACAAGACCTTACCAGAGGGAAGTTTGATAATCTACATTAACATATAAAAACGACCCCAAAATATATACTTTGACCCAACAATCTCCATTTGTAGAGATTTGTCCCAAATTGATAATTGCATAAATACTAAAGGATATACAGGTCAGGTATCCTTATCACTTCATTGCCTATAACAGGAAAAAAATGGTAAGCAACTCAAGTGTCCATCAGTAGGAGACTAGTTATTTAGGCACATTCAATAAACTCTTCCAAACCATTAAAATAATCTAGATCCTTATTTGACAAGTAACAGTGTTGATGGGGCACTGTTTAACAAGTATTTTATAACACTGATGCCATTTTTGTAAAGGTTTCTATCCACAGATGCATAAGAGGTGACTAGAAAGATATTGTATCCCGATTTTGAGATGTTGGGTGACTTTCTTTTTGGTATCTTCCTGTGATGTTTTCGCTGTTATTTAAACCATGAGCCTTGTTTGTGCAAAAGTGAAATAAGCTATCCCAAAGGGTGCTAAGCTTACCATACATCCCATTGCTGCCCGGAAGAATGTCAAGATAGGAGAGGCGATGGGGGCAGCTCCAGTGATCATTAAGGAGACCTTCCCACCCAGGCTGTCCTGTTCAGGAGAAACAAAAGACCTGCTGAAGCCTATCCCCTTGGCTTCAGTTTCCTCTATTGCAAGATGGGTCAAACAACCTACCCGCTGTTGTTATGAGAATTAAACTTGGTACTTTACAAAGCAGTTACAATAGGGCCTGGCACTGTGGAAAAGCACTTAAAATGTTCATTATTACTGTCACCACCATCCATAGCTGGGACCAGATCTGAAATTTAAAAAAATTTCCTCAGATAATTTGTATTTTTGGCCCCTTCAGATTACTTATACTTTCAACAGACCACGTAAAAGAATGAGAGTGAGAGCTAGAACCTACACAAAATCCATTTTCTGATTTTTGACCAATTTCCTTTATTGACAAAGTGGTCCAAGAGAGATCTCAAATGGCGAGTGAACAGAGAAAATACAAAAGGATCTCCAGTTAAAGACATGCTTGACCGTCAGAGGAAAAGCAAAGTGCACTGAGTCAGTGGGCACCCGAAATATTTGCCTGGCTCTGTCCAGGATTCACCCAACCTACCTGGATCTTTGCAAAGATGAGCTTGTCCCAGAAACTGTTGCGTCTGATGATACCCTTTTTCATTTCATTGATTTTACTGGCAACAGCCAAGTTCAACAAGAACTTCTTCAAGGGTGTCTTTGCTTCATTTTGAACCTGCAGGGTGATAGCTCCTTTTAGTTGGAAACCTATTGGAAATACTCACCAAGGCTCATCAGTGAGCAAGAGACAGTTCCTTCTAGTTTCATAAGGAACTGGCTCTCATTCATGGACCACTTTGCTGAATAATGATGAGCCCAGAGAATCATGTCCACACTAAGAAAGAAGTGAACTTAGTACCTAAAGACAGAGCTCCATTTCCTCTAGATTCCTCATTCTTGGCAGACATCTTTGACAACTGAAATAAGCATGTCCTCAAAAGATGGTCAGCATCTACCTACAAAGTCACCCGGGACTGCTAGGTTAAAAAAAGCTCAATGGGCAGCCACGTTAGGGTTTTTGATTTAGTGGGTCAAAGAAGGGCCTCGGAATCTGACTTTTAAAATAAGCACCACTTTTCTATCTCCTTGTCCCAGTGATGCTTATATACACTAGATTTAGAGAACAACCAGCTTTCTCTATAACTGAAGTTCCCTTAGACACAGCATACAAAACCCAACAGACTTTCTTACTTAGATCATTTCTTCCCTTCAGACTTAATGTCAAGCTCGCATGATTTCTCTAGTCACCTTGACTCTGTCTTCACTGTGATTCTATAATCTATCAACCGTATTCCTGCCGAAAGAAAGCTTTGCCAGTACGACACAAAAGAAAGTCACCTTATTTACAAAATTAAATCCCGAACTCCATGTTCTGTCTGGCTTTCATGACTTTATCCTACTGGAAGTCAGATTCGAGGAAATCGAAGTTCTTTTCCAGTTCAAAATTCAAAGATGACTCTTCCATATTTACACTGCTATTCCTGAGCCTCCAGCCAAACTGGGCTGCGCTGCACATCCTCACCCCGTAATGCCAACTGTGCCCCATGCTCTAGATATCCACTCATGTCTATACCATCATTTTGCCAATATCTCACCATCTCTCCACAAGGTCTATACTCAAATGCTGCCTGCATCATGTTATTCTTGACACCTCTCTCAAGCTTAATAAATTTATCTTCGACATTCTCAAGACTCCCCCTAACAAGTCACTGACAAAGAGCTGGAATTTAGAGACTCGCGCTAATAAAATCCCTCATATTAAAAATAAGTTCCAGAAGTAAACTGTGTGTTTAAGTTAATATATTATAAAATATAAAATAGCAAAACCAAGACTTGAGTGAGAATTATACAAGATGAGCTTGAGACATCTTATGCCAGAAAGCAATGAAGCTATAAAAGGCCCCTGGGGTCATGTCAAAAAGACACATGAGCAACATGATGACGCTCCCAACTTCCAAGATGGGAAATTGAACATCAAGAAGGATAACCGAAATGGATTAAGCATACAAATACAAAAATCATGAATTTATAATTTTACAAAGGAAACAATCTCATTAGCCAGTTTTGAAGATCACTGGTGCATCAATTCATCATTTTGAAGATTAATAAAGGAAAAGAATGAAATATTTGTTATGCCTTTATGGAAGAATCTCAGCTACTGAATTCAGGAGAAGTGATTGAATTAGAAAAATCGCCATTTTGCAATCCCTAATGAAAAACAGAGTACCGATTAATGACAGCTAAAATGATTACGTGACAGCCTAATTCTGGCCTGACTCCTTATTAGATATGACTCTGAGCAAGTTAATTAACCTCCGAGGCTCAGTCTCCTCATCTATAAATTATAGATAATAAGTGTAGGCCTGATTTCCTGTGTTTTTTTGAGGATTAGATGATGGGATATATATGAAATGTTTGCCATGGGACCTCAACCAGAAGCTCAGTAACCAGCAGGCATCATGAAATCAGAGCAACACCTTCCCAGGAAGTCGGCTGTAGTTTGAGGGGCTCCCCACGTCTCTAAATTGAGCTCTTTCTCCAGACCAGGTCCAAGTAATCGCATCCAAAGGAAAGGGGGGTTCATTTTTTTATGGTTTTTCACGGTTGCATTTAAAAATGTGACTATAAGTAGGCATATGTAGGGAGTGGGAGGTGGAAGTGGTCAAATTTCTTAGCAACATAGAGTCGCTGAGAGCCTCAGTCAAGCCTGAGCCACAGATGTTTCCTTCATCTCAGGGTCAGCCCAGCAGATGCAAGGTTGGCACCTTATTGTAGATCCTGTTAAGGAGTCGAGGCACTATGGGAAACACCGTGGGCTTCAGAGTCTTCATGTCATCGGGCAGCAACCGAATATCTCCCTGGAAGAACCCAACTCTGGCTCCACAAGAGTACATAATAACCTGAAAGCAAAATGGAAGAATATGGCTCAGAACCAAAGGACCGTTTCAGGCCTGCCTTGGATAGAATCAAGGAACTAGGTTGATGTCTCTGGGTGCTTTTCTCTATACAGCACCTTCCCACCCTCGAGACAGGATAGAAACTTATCTATCCTGCTAGAAACTTAGCTTTCCTGCTAGAAACTTATCTTTCCTGATAGAAACCTGCTGAGGTGTCAGAACAGGTAAGACAGATTGTGAGACTGAAGGCCAACCCCTACTCCATCCACAGCTCTGGGTAATAGCCTAAGACATCATCCTTTGTAAGAGATCATTCTTTTATTATTATTTTTTTAATAGTTGCACAAGTTTTTATTAAGCTGTGCCTTAGTTTAGGCACTGGGGCTTGCTCATGGTGCTCTCGATGTATAAAGCCTGGACGTTCTGCCAATTCTTTTTGAGCAATGACACCAAGAAATTGCCAGCTAAGTGAATGTTGAACACAAGCTCATCATCTGTCATCCTCAAGTGGCCAATGGCCACAGCCAGACAGCAATGTTTCCATCTGGAACTTGACCGTGGAATTCACGTGTATCAGATGCTCCTTCTCCGCCCCTCTGTGGGCAACCTTCATTGACTTTGGCCACCACATTCTCTTCATGGGTCAGCAAGGAAGGGAACTTGCCAGCCTTTTTCAAGCCTGGGCCCAGGATTCATAGGATCTGCGTGATCAAAGACTTAAGCCCAAAAGGCATCATGTTAAGTTCCTTTGGTGCTTTGATGTCTACATGGGGGCGGGGGGCAACCACAGTCTTGGCCTCGTCACAGTGCTGCTGGCCCCCCAAGACACATACAGAGAATGTGGGGCAGAGAGCGGACTTAAGCCGCCAGAAAGTTTCCAAGAAGTGTTTGTCCTTCTGAGGGTCATAGTTCCTCAAGCGGATCTACGGCTCTACTGTCTCCAAAAACTTCCAGCACTTGCGCTGGTTCCCATGCAAGCTTTCTCGCACAGCCTCGTAGAGGGTGCTGCAAGAGACTTTGCTGCTCATGATGTCTTTTAGACTAAGAGACTAAGAAAAAACACTACCAACTAAACCAGAAAATGCCTTTTAATTATAAGACTTTTAATTATAAGAGTGTCTCAATTTCAGGAATGTTAAAAATGTGGAAAAAAAAGGCTTATTAGAACCAATATTTTATTAATCAGATGTCAACACGTTAGCCCAAGGAACTGAATCTTTCATTTTTGCATTTCATGCAACAGCAGATAAGCCAGTCGAAGAGGTATTTAAGAGAGGGTTTTCCATCCACACTACCAACTGCCTTTCTGAAAAGCCAGCGCTGCTCTCTTCAAATCGGCCTCAGAATAGCCTGGTGAGCCCGGAGTCCCCTCACAGACGGGCAGCTCTCCTGTGGCACACACACAACCCTGAACGGCTCCCACTGCATACAGCTTACGTGGATCAGATGCTCCTTCTCCGCCCCTCTGTGGGCAACTTCCTTTTCTTTAATCCTAAATCTTTTCAAAATTTTTAACCAAAATAAAATTAGAAAGAAGAAAAATGTCTTCTATCCCAGCTCAGGATTAAGGATCGATAGTAAGCTCCTGGCTGTGACCTCAGTAGACTCGAGGTACCCTGAGAGAAGGCAGGAGCAAGCATTGGCCAATCGGCCACACACACTTAACCAAGGAAGGCTCCACATGGAGTTGGGGGAAATACCACTGGGGTTCCTACTCAGCCGTGCCCACTTCCTGCCTATTTCCATCTCATTAGAGAAAGACCCTAAATATTGCATAGCTGCCTTTGGAATAAACACGGGACTGCCTTTCCTCATGCCTGCTGGGAACGGAGGGCACTCACCTGTACAACCCTCTCAAACATATGAGCCAAGGGGAGGTAGGATATGGTCACATCCTTGGGAGTGGGCTGGAAGCTGTCCTATAGATAAAGAACAAAGAGGAAATGACATTGGATTAATGCCAACTTTCTCTTCCAAAGGAGATTTAAGAACTACCCTGTTAACGACAGTTAATAATACTCTATTATATATTTGAAAGTTGCTAAAAGTTCTTGTCACACACAAAAAAAGAGTTTTTATCTATGTGTGGTGATCTTTCTTAGCTAGACTTATTTTGAGGATCGTTTAGCAACATATACAAATATTGAATCGTTACATTGTACACCTGAAACTAAGGCAATGTTAGATATCAATTATATCTCAATTAAAATTTTTAAAAAATTTAAGCTACTTCTTTCTAGGTGGGCCACATACAGTTGTGCGGGCGGTACACTGCATCACTCTAAGAGGTGCCCTTAACTGAGTACAAAGGTCTGCAGTGATCCTAAAAGACCAAGGCTTGAAAATGCACAGTCCTCCAGACAAAGATGCACAAATATTTGCCCACATTCAGGCCCTTAACCTGTTTTTTTTTTCCCCTCTCTGCCTCCTCTGACTTCAAGATTAAAATCTTATGACAAATTCACATTTTGATCAGGACTTCTTTTTCATTTGATCGACTGACCTCCAAAAGTTTGAGAAAAGCAGCAGCATTTGAAATGACATTTTGATGGGTTAGCATGGCCCCTTTGGGCTCACCTGTAGGAAAGAAGAGGTGGAGAGAAAGATCCTTTATATAGCTCATAGGAAGCCTTTGGCTTTGAAATAAGAAGCTACATTCAATTGGTTCTGTTCTGGAGAGTCAAGAGCTTCTCCTGTTACTGTATCTTTGTGTGAATGGTATATGACTCTGTTTCTGAATGATTAATGCCCACAGAGTTTACTGCTGACAGCCTTCTACCAGCACATAGCACATAGCCACCATTTCAGATAGCAACACAGTTGAAAAGAAAAATCCAAATAACCACCAGCACCCCCACCCCCCAATCCCGTGCTGTTTTTATGTTTCAGACTTCAGATTCAACAATATTTCCCAGCTATCACCTTCTGAACTGGTTGCAATGGAATGTGCCTATCATAACTATAGTCCATCATGGGCCACATTAAAAGTGATTAAGAATTCTAATAGATGAGAAGCTTCAAGGTGAGGGTAGGGGGCACATCGTGATCTGTGTAGAACTATCATTGGGTTACCTTGATTGAGTGACCATTCTCGTCGTGTCAAATTGAGAGAGTGGTGGGTTGGGGAAGAAAGTTGACTTTCTGTTGCCATCTTTAAGACTTCCCAAATCCATAGCATGTAAATATGTCCCAGTATATTTAATGAAGTTTATTTGCTTATGCTTATAGTTTTCTATTTGGGTATCCATACTCAAAAGCTTTAGGTTTTAAGCCCCTAAGGGTAGGGCTCACTGTAGAGTATATTTACCAGGCTATCAGTGGTTAGTGACTCGAACCATAATTTTGGCTAACCAGGGGCCTCTGGGACAACTTCATGGGCACTGACCTGTGGTTCCACTGGTGAAGCAGATGATGCTCAGATCTTCTGGTGTAGGTGGCTGGAGGGGGAAGCACAGGGACTTAGTCTACCATGAACTTTGCAAGTTGAACATGCAAGATTCAAATTTGAGCAGAAGAAAACTTACCACGGGTTTTCTGAAGTTCTCTCTGCCTATATTCTACATGAACAGAAAACCAAAAAAGAAAGATATTAATTGAGACGGACAGACTTATGGCAAATACAGCCCTCTCTTTTCCTTTTCCAGGAGAATACATCTGTGGGAATATAACCCAAATTCCATCCTGGATCAGGCCCAGAAAGCCCCAGGGAAGAGCATAAGGTTTACTTAGAATATAAACCTTAAAGGGGTAGATCCCAAATATCCAAACTTCCCATTACACTCTTAAGGTTCAGTCATCTAGGACCATTGCTAAATCTTTTCGAATGATATGAATAGTTGACATTTCAAGGCTTACTACATACCAGTCACTGTCTTGAGCACTTTATATATATTAAGTCCGTTAACTCTACAGTAACTCCTCTGTAAAGTAGGGACTATGGTATCTTCATTTTACAGAAAGGGAAAAGGAGATGTGGAGTAACTCGCCTCAGGTTGCCTAATTGACAATTGTGAAGCTGGACTGTGAACCCAGGAAGCCCAGCTGCAGGACCATATCCTTCACGACCACTAACCTCTGTATTTATAAATTCTCTACTTAGAAAAGTCTGTGCATGCTGGCCACAGACTTTTCTCTTCCCCAGCATGGTTTCTGAGTTGTCTTGGGGAAATTATTCTCAAAGCTTCAAAGCATGAGTCTAATTTTCTCCACTCCTGTCACCCCCAGAGAACAACAGCCTGCACTCCGGTGTAGATGTCCTGTAAGATGCCCATGGCATCAGACCAGCCTTTGAGCTTTGAGTTGAGTTTTAGACCATTACCTCAGCTTCAGAGAAGGATAAGATCTCTATTCCACTTTTCTCCCCTCTTTGCTTCAGGTCATCTTCAAAGGAATTCATGAGGATGATTATTTTTAGGCCTGAGATGAGGCCCTTCTCCACATTTCCTATCAGGACCAATGCCTTTTGGAGTGTATCACAGATCACCATGGCAATATCAGCTGAAAGCAGAAATAGAGCTACAGGTCATCCTGCTCTGCTATGTACTGGATTGCCTCGCAAGAAGGAAGAGTGTTTTAAAAATTTCTGAGCTAGTGGGTCCCCAAAAGATATTATATTTGCTTATCAGATTTATTATGTGTAAAATCTGAAATATTCCATTGATCATAAATGAGCTTAATTGAAGTAGAGCACAGACTTTTCTTGCATACTGCCAACAATTTACAGTTTCTAGAGAAGCTCCCCAATTCCTTCTGCTTAAGAATACAGACAATGAGTATGAATCGCTTTGGCATAGTCCTATCAGTGTGTTTTATTTTGGGGAGGGGAGTAGGAAGTTGAAGAGAAAGGCGGGGAGAGATGGGATTTTAGCAGACAAGCATTTTAGATTCTAAATATTAGCATTCGGTTTGGTACTTGTTTACACAAGTGGAAAACCTCTGATTTTATGTATAGTTCAAATGAATCTAATTAATCTAGTTCTGTGGAAAAAGTAACATCTTGGATATATGAAGAGGCTGTTACTTGCACAATGAAATCGTACTTGTTTCTTTAACAATGGTAGTTTTTTTTTCTACAGACTCACCATGGGCTGGTTAACTGTGCTGACTCAGATTTTCAAGAATAGAAAATTTAATCCACAGTTTCACAGTGATTTAGTCACTCACTTTGGCCTTTTATTCAGTGTGCTCAAAGTAAATAGTTTTATTTCTAAAGTGCATTGTCATACCATGTCACTTTAAAGCATTTCACTGAATCTTCTAATTGTGCATATCTCTGCCTCATGGGCTTTTTGTAACTTCCCTGTAAATTATATCCTACGAATGACAGGACAAGAAAGACACTGCATTCCAAATCTGCTAACAAGAGCGGATACTGAGGAATTATTCAACATTAAGAAAGAACCAAGTTATAATGCAACAGCAAAGTTTTACCCTTGTTGATAGTGTACACGACAGCTTCTACTCCCAAGGTATCATACAGGGGGACAGGCACCATGGAGTACGTGTAACAAGCTAACTCCGAGATGATCCACTATATGGAGAGAAATTCAAGTAAGGACTAGGGAATGCTTTGAAAAGAAAAGTATGAATTTAGTCATTTAGCCAACAAATTCTTATTTGGTTACTTTGTGTTAAAAAAAAAAAATCACTGTGGGGCCCTAAGGACTGTCACTGCTAGTGCTATAAAGTACAGTCAAATAAAGGATATGATAAGGTAGGCAGAGAGACAACTAAGATATAAAGGTAGACCAGGAAACAAAGATAGAGTAAAATGTTCTATTCATAAGAGGTATAGAAACCATTAAGAGTTTTAAGAAGGCAGAGGTTGCTTTCAGGGGTGGGGTCAAGCCTATCTGGGACTGCTTTGGGGAAAGTGATAAAAATTTGGCAGAGCTTTTTGAAAGACTGGTAAGATTTGCTTATGAAGGTAAAGGCAGAGAAGGCATTGAGGAAACGAACAAAGACAGGACAGGGTGACATCACTCTACATATATTAGAAAGCATGAAATGAAGAATGACAGGAAATGAGCTGGAAAGGTAAGTCAGAATCTGCCTTAAACAACAGTCAAGTGTTACAGGCCGAATGAAGCCCTAACCCCCAAAGCCACTGATTTTGGAGATAGAGTCTTTAAAGAAGTAATTAAGGTTAGACATAGGGTGGGTTGTAATCCAATATGATTAGTGTCCTCACAAGAAGAGGAAGAGGGACGCCAGAGAAGATAGAGAAAAGGTCACATGAGGATACAGTGAGCAGGCAGCCATCCTCAAGCCAAAAAGAGAGCGCTGAGGAGAAACCAAACCAGCTGACACCTTGATCTTGGACATTGGCCTCCAGAACTGTAAGAAAATGTATTTCTGTTGTTTAAGTCACCCAGTCTGTGGTATTTTTCATTTTGGCAGCCTTAGCAGACTATTACTCTAGGTTTGGTGGTAAGTTCCTAAACTGGGGTCCAGGGAATGTCTTCTCATTGGGGCTGGGTGTAACAAAGGTAGAATATGTCAATTCACCAAAAAGTGCAGACAGTGCCCTCTCAGATTTTCAGTTAAGTCAGTGGCTCTCCTGCACACGTCGGCTAATTATTATGAAGCATACAAAACTTTCTCTGAGAACTTTGGGTCTAATGACTTAACTTGAACTTGGGGATAATCTTAATTTCAGTCATCTTCATGTCTAAGATTTGCTTTGATTTGCCAGTTTCAGTAGCAATGGATGCCTTGGTTTACCAGTTCAGGTACAACATGCAAGTTCCAATTCTAATATGACTACATCCCTTCCCACAACATCCATAAGCTCTTATTTGCCAGTCCCTTATTTGCTTCCTTGTTTTCTCATGTCACAGACTTTCTTAAAGTGACACCTAGCTTAGAGAACTATACATTCAACCAGGAATTAAAGAGGCCCTGAGTTGTAACTCTTTCAAGTGTTTAAATATTTTCAAGAATATTTAAAGAATATGAGATCTTTACATAGCTTTGGAGAATCAGCAAGTGTCAGAGTGCTGGATTAGAGGTGAGGTGCAAAGTCCTCAGATTTAGCCTGACTCATTTCCTTGAGTTAACTTCAACATGGTTACCTCTGGCCTATTCTGAGCAAAGATGCCAACAAATTGGTCTGGTGATGGCTTATATCCTTTATGCAAGAGACAGGAGCCCAGGTACTCTGCTCGATGAGACACCTACAAAAGAGAGAGATAGAGAAAGCAGTCGAGACCCAAAAGAGACCAAATTTGCTCAGGATATCACATTAGCAAAAGAGTCTCTCCCAAACCATGAGCCTGGCTGCTTACCTGTTTGTAGGACAGCCATCTGTAGTCCTGATTTGGTTTTCTATATCCCAAGCAAGGCCCATTGCCTAAAAACATAACATTAAAAGAAAATCAGCTCAAGTTGCAAATCTTTTGGCCCAGAAAAGGTAAAAGGGGATTAAGAAGAGACAAGGCACAAGGGATAAATCTGATAAGAATGCGAGCTTCTCTTATGTGCCAAGGAAATTCAAAGGCAGAAAGTACTCAGTTCTCAAAGGCAGAGAGAGTCTTATAAACTACACTTGAAACATTTAGAAAATTCTACAAAACAGGCATTCAGAGAAAGCCACAAATAGGGATTTGCCCACATAATGTGAACAAGTAAAAGCCCACAAGTAAATATAAACAGCCTATATTGGATAATCTTGAATTGAACTTCCCAATAATAATAATAATAATAATAATAATAAAGCATGCTCATAAAAATATAGAAAAAAGGTCACAATGTAAGTTGCAACAATCTCATCGAATAAACACCAATATTAGCACTGATTTTTGTTTTTCAGAGTTCCTTTGCATAGCTCTGCAGGGTTATGTCCATTTTATATATATATTTGTCCTGCGTCCTTTCTTTGTTTGATATAAACCTTCTCATATTATTTGTTCTCTGTAGAGATTTCAGCAGCCTTACCATGGCCAATTGAGGAAGGGTTCTACTGTAGTTGACTTTCATTGTGGATATTTAGATTGTTTCTAAGTTTATACCTTCAATAATGCTATGATAAACATTTTCAAATTAATCATTTCAAATTCAGAACATTTTCTTAGAATAGAGTCCCTAAAATGAAATAACTTCAATAAGAAGGGATGGGGGTGGTCGGAATAGCTCAGGTTTTTAATATCTAGCACCGTATTGGGTAGTAGACTCATTGTGGCAATTTGCTTTTATAGAGCAAGCAATGTATTGAGTCATAGACACTAAATAGTAACATTTTACCATGTCTTCAAAAAATCATTACTTTAGTCTATGTTTCTTTTACAGCTTGTAAAGTGGGACCTTTCCCTTTGTTAAATTTTATTTACTCTCACACATCATCTGTTAACATACTTCACCTGTTTATATGAGAATTTTTTCTGAGATACCGAGGCTCATTGGAATTACAAGGACACACACACACACACACACACACAGAGGACACACATATGAATACACACACAGGTACACACACATGTATATTTGCCTTCGATGTTATTACAATTGTGTTTTATATTTGTTACTAGACCATCTAGACTCTTGGCCTTATTAAAGTTAAAATAAATGTGGGAACATCCATTTGCTAGAACAAATAGCAATCTCAGCCACAGAAGCCACAGAAATTGTGAAACAAGGCTAAGGAACAAGTCTAGCTTGCCGAGAAGCCCCACATCTAAGCCAAAATGAGACCAAGTTATAAATCAAAAAGTAGAAGGGAAGGGAATTTGACACAGAGGCTCTAGCCAAACTCCTGAGAGCCAAAAGTTCTTGCCAAAAGGAAGCATTCAGAAAGAGGGTACTAGGAATTCAAAGGTAAATACGTGAACTTCCAGATTAAGTGAAAGAAGAAAAAGGAAAGGAAGCAAGAAAGACCTACTCTAATTGAAGAGATATAGAAAATGAACGAGGAGACTGTCCACAGGAAATGTAGTACTTTTTCTTCCT